ATATATATATATATATATATATATATATATATATATATATATATATATATATATATATATATATATATATATATATATTCACCCTTATTCAACCATATCAATCCTCCCGTACTACACCTGCTGCGACGTTCAGCCTATCCTCCATATCAGGCTCTAGGTCTTCTAGTTTTGAATTTTTTGAAAGAATGGCCAAATCCTGTTTTTTAGTTTTGTTTTTAGATCACTGGGCAGGCCTTCTTCGCGTTCGCGAAGGGCCTGCCGTGTTCGCAAAGGGTAGCGTCCCAGAAGGCTTACGCATTCGCGAAAGGTTGTTCGCTTTCGCGATGACTTGACCCCCCTGGCCATCGCGTTCGTGAGCCTTGGCTCGCGTTCGCGCAGAACGACCAATAGAACCCAGCCCACCTCCATTTTCTCTATGCCTTCGCGCGTTGCCGGTCGCGTTCGCGAAGAGCAGACCCCCAGTGCTCTGCGTTCGCGACCATGGCCTTGCGTTCGCGTTGAACAAAACCACCCCAGACCAACTTACACTTCGCGTTCGCGAGAGTAGCTTTGCGAACGCGAAGAAGAAAACCGGAAAGCACTGAAGCTGCAGAAAGCAGATTTTTTTCTAAGTCCAAAACATCCCCTAGCCTATCCGAACCTCACCAGAGGCCTCGGGGCTTCAAACCAGACATGCACACAAGTCCTAAAACATCATACGAACTTGCTCGCGTGATCAAATCGTCAAAATAACACCTAGAACTATGAATTGAACACCAAATCTGTACCTGGACTGAGCTGAGCGAAGTCTATCCTGAATGATCTTAACCTTATCCAAGGCATCCTGTACTAAATCTGTACCCAATAATCGAGCCTCCCACGGCTCAAACCATCCGATCAGCGATCGACACCGTCAACCATATAATGCCTCATAGGGAGCCACCTGGATGCTCGACTGATAACTGTTGTTGTAGGAAAACTCTGCAAATGGCAAGAAATAATCCCAAGAGCCTCCGAAGTCAATAACACAAGCACGAAGCATGTCCTCTAGTATCTGAATAATGCTCTCGGACTGCCCGTCCGTCTAAGGATGAAATGCCGTGCTCAACTCAACCTGCGTGCCCAAATCATGTTGTACTGCCCTCTAGAAATGCAAGGTGAACTACGTATCTCGATCAGAAATGATAGATACGGGCGCACCGTGAAGACGAACGATCTCACATATGTAAATCTTTGCCAACCGCTCTGAAGAATAGGTAGCTGCCATAGGGATGAAATGCGCTGACTTGGTCAGTCTATCCACAATAACCCAAACTGCATCGTACTTCCTCTGAGTCCGTGGGAGTCCAACAACGAAATCCATAGTGATACGCTCCCACTTCCGCTCAAAAAACTCTATCTTTTGAAGCAAACCACCAGGTCTCTGATGCTCGTACTTTACATACTGACAATTTAGACACCGAGCTAAATATGGAACTATATCCTTTTCATTCTTCTCCACTAATAATGCCGCCCCAAGTGCTAATACATCATGGCGGCGCCCACATGAATAGAATATCGGAAACTGTGGGCCTCCTCTAGAATCAACTCACGAAGTCCATCCACATTAGGCACACAAACACGACCCTGAATCCTCAAAACTTCATCATCTCCAACCGTAAGCTGCTTGGCACCTCCGTGCTGCATTGTGTCCCTAAGGACAAGAAAATGAGGATCACTATACTGCCGCTCCGCGATGCTCTCAAACAATGAAGATCGAGCGACTGTACAAGCTAGAACATGAATGAGCTGTCACGCCCCAAACCTAGGGAGGCGTGGCTGGCACCCGGTGCCATTGTTGCCCGAGCGAACTACTCTGTAACTTATTTATTCCTTTTGTAACTACCATGGGCCAACACGGCCACAAATCGTAATGTACAATTATAAGTGGGCAAATGTTATATTAATGAACCATCGTTCTTAAAAACATGAATACATATGGGCCGTCAAGGCCTCTGACAAACTATACAAAATGAACCTGTCTACAAAGCCTCTAAGATTATTTGACATTAAATGAGACAGGGTACGGTCTACCCATAAGTCTGTAGCAAAACACTAACACGATGACTGATAGACTCGGCTGTACTCTGAATGAGGTGGAGTCTCACCGATCCTTCGCTGAATGCCAATCTCGTCTACTATAAGGGCTCATCAAATTGATTACTTATACCTACAGGCATGAATGCAGTGTCCCCAATAAAAGGACGTCAGTACGAATAATCACTACAAAACAAACTGAAATTAGCTACGAACGTCGTCGCTAATCTGTCGCTAAAACGCTCGTAACTAGCAGAATTTCTTGATAATCCGTTGCTAATCTGTCGCTAAATGATATTAGTGACGGATTTTTCTTTTTAGCTACAGAATTTGTCCGTCGCTAAAACCTGATTTTTTTAGTAGTGAATGTACAGAGTATGTAAGGCATGTAAATCAATATATAAAAGGCATGAAAGAAACATGGAGTACATAACTCAACTTGTAAGTCTGGATAACTCTGTATATCATTTAATACTTATAGTGTCGTGCATATGCGTATGAATGTCATGTAATGCGTAGGTCTGTACGTACAACATAACATCATCGATCCTCTGAGGGCATCCCATCATATCATTTAAACCACTGTGGGCAACATCATCATCGTATACCAGCTGATCAGGTGGTGATGCGTATATAACGCCGTAACCTTTTCCCATATCCCATATACATACATACGCGTATATAACGCCGTCTGAGTCATGGGTAAATGCACATGTAAATGAATGCAATGCATGAAAAGTACGTTAGTAAAATTTTTCGGAACGTCATAACACCATTATACTTGCCTCTAAATGCAATGGTGATCCTGTAATTCCTGCTAATTTATACTCCCTCTGCCCATTTTATTGGTTCTGGTTTGATTGGTTATGAAATTTAAGAATGGAATTAAATGATATGTGAAAGAGAGCAATCTTTTAAGTAAAGATTATCAAAATGTAGAATTTCAAACTTAGACTGTGAAGGTATCAGCTAAGGCTCACTTTGTCTATTTAAACTAGTTTCCTGGGCACTTAACTCGATTGAACATATAAAACAACTAAGAGCAATCCCCTGGGAAACTGATTTATAAAAATAGAAATACTCTAACTTAAGTAGATATTTGTGTATAATTATAGCCATGAAGAATAGGAAGTGGTACATAGTAATTCTTATAGTTAGGAAGTGGTACATAGTAATTCTTATAGTTGTCACTTTAGCTGTGGCAGGTATAAGCATGCTTGGAGAACAAAGAACAAGTTGA